AAAGCACCAAGGCAGGAGAAGAGGAAGTGAAAGGAAACATGATGAGAGGGATGTATGGAGACGGGGAAATAAAAAGATGTGCAATGGCATGAAAGAGAGACTGGGAGAAAAGCAAGAATTTGAAGAGTGATCTCAAAAGACAGAGGCTAGACAGGAATCGTGAAGCCACCTACAATTACAGATTAGAGCAAGGCTCCTGACTTCAACATGGCACGGCCCGTTAGTTTGCGGCATGTGGTACAGTTTGGGTTTGTATGGGGCTCAACACACAACCCACAGGTGGGAGCCAAAACAAAAAAGTAGTCAATATAATGGTCTTCTGTTGATGTGCGTTTTAGTAGTTAAATTCCTGGACTGTCATTGCTCGTTAAAAGTGCTGGCATATGAGTGGAAATCAGGTAAATATTGCATTTTACTAATATCAGCAGAATGGACTTAAATGGGGCCTGCGTGTTGTGTAGTCTTGCCTTAATCTTTGTATTCATGCCTGTCAGTGTGAAAGAAGCTATTTGCATAAATTTGCATATATATTTGCATGTACGTGCATCCATACTTAAGTTGTGGCCCTCAGCATGTGCTGCGAGTATCATTGTTGTCCCCGGAGCTTCCAAAGTTGAGTAGCCCTGGGTTATAGTGTAAAGTGTGCTGTATATAGCATTGATCTGGTTTCTATTTGTATTTCATTCTAATTGCAGAGGCAGCTCCTATTTTTGTTCAGACCGTGGTTGGTTGAAATGTTTTTGCTGAAACTTTTTTTTTTCCTTAATGAAAAATAGCTTTTTGACCAAAATGAAATGTTTGTGTGTGTAAATATTATGATTTTAGAGTGGAAACCATCTGTCTTTTATTTCTCCTTCCTCTGCTTTTTTTTCTTTGTCCCCACTTTTCCAGGGGCAGAAAGAAAAGCAAGGGGAAGGATAAAAGGAAGAAGGAAAATGGAAAACCAAACGTTTGGGTTTCATGGAATGAAACGTCCAAAATCTTACACCAATTTTTTAATCCAAGTGAAAAATTTTCATCCCCGTTTGAAATTTTTCACTGAAAACATAGAATTTCTCAGCTCGGACACAGGCTGCTGCAGGAGAGGCTCACACACTGTGCTCTCTCTCAGGGAAACTTTATTTTTGTTCCTTCTTGTTTTGTTGCTCTTTGCATATAAAAGAAAGGTCATCCCGACTCAAAGGATATGGATGTCCTTTGGGCACGATCAAGTCAACAGGAATCTTTCCGTGAACATCAGTGGTACTTGAGGTAAGTGGAAGGACTCTGATTTGCTTCAGAGCCTGACTGAATCTTTTGGGGTTTATTCAGTTTCTTAGTGAAAAACAGACTAAACCAACCTAGCAACATTGTTTCTCACTGGAAAACAAAACTATTACAAATTGAATAGAGTACAGGAGACCCTCGTAATCTAAGGTCTCTCCCTCTGTACCCTCTTCTGCATGGTGAATCCTGGGTCTGTCTCTTAAGGGAAAATGTGGCTGCATGTCTGTTCTGTGGCCCTCTTGTAAATGAATGGTCTGTATAAAAATCCTCTTGGAAACTTAGTAGCTAAAATAAAAGGTTGTTGCCTGATAAGGTGACTAACTAACCACAATAAGGGTTCACACCCAGACAGTCCTAGGGGGAGAATTCCTGGAGGCCTCACGTGCAGTCTCATCGTTACCGATTGGGTAGTAAACACTCAGCTTAAATATTTACATTAGAAAGAAACAGTGAGAAAAGACGAAGCAAAATCGGATACGCTAAGGGGAAGTCTGGTCAAAAAGTCCAAGTCTCTTTAATCTCTCCTCAGATGGGACCCGTTCCAAACCCCTCATCATTTTAGTTGCCTTTCTCTGAACCTTTTCTAAAGCCAGTATATCTAATGCCTGATCCTCAGGTTTTCCCCTAATTCAGTTCCCATCTGTGAATTGTTTGGGTCAGTCCTGTCTTGCGGCCTCTCCTGTGTAATTTTAGCAGCTACAGGTGCCTCCTGTTTGATACCCAGAACTCTGGGCGGATACAAAATTGCTATCTGTATCTGCAGAAATGAGCTGTGGGTATTTGCATCCACATTCGCAGATCCGATACCCGTGGATGGGAAACGGATATCCGCAAATTTGCAGGATTCTAGGTACAAAATTGGTTTCTGCATCCATAGCTGCAAAAATGAGCTGCAGGTATTCACATCCGGCTACCTGCAGATGCAAAGCAAATACCTGCACATTTGCAGGGTTCTCTTGGTACGTGTTCTCCTAGACATCTTTACAGGCATCGTCATATAAGTGCACAAACTAGTCTGTCTCCTGCACTAAGGGGCACACCAGCCACATTAGCTATGTGCCTGTCTTCCTCCCACCCCCCGGTGAACGTTAGGTAGCTACCTACACACATCTACCACTAAAACACAATGTACTAAAGGTGGAGTTTGATTTGACCAAGGCCTTTTCATCTATAAAGCACTTCTCATCCTTGGCTCTCGAATATTAGAGACATCGTACAAACTCTGTCCTTAGCTCACCCGGCTCAGCCTGAGTATGCACCTCCTCTGGTATAAAATTTCCCAAGGGTGACAGGGACGTAGCAATTGTCTTACAGTGAGACAAGTAGTTGGCTTTTCAGGGCCGAAGAAGGAAAGACCTGGAAGGTTGCGAGGTCCACTCCAGAAGAGCCAATCCAGAAATGCTTACGACAGCTTCCCCTCTTGAATTTTTCTCTTGCATATTATGCCAGTCTCAGAGGTCTCCGAACTCAAAAGCATTGCTCATAAAAGAAGTTAACAGCATTGCTCATAAAAAGAAATTCGGGCTAGTAGTCAATGTGGAAGGGAGAAAACACGCAAAAACATTGGAACTGAATCAGTTACGTTACCAAATGAAACAAAGTTAAGAGACTTTTTTCCCTGATAAAAGTGGGGGATGCCATAGCAGTTTTCTTTTGCAATAAGCTCATTTTTAATGTTATCATTTTGTAATAGGAAAAAACCCCTACATTTAAAGTTTGCCTCATGCAAATGTTACTTGCTAGCTTTCTTGCTAATCCAGAGGAAATATTATCCTAGGAATCCCCCAGGCCCAATGTCTAGGTGTCGGATACATGATAAACTTACCTGAAGCCTTTTTAGTGAGATATAGTTCTCTGGAGATAGCTGAGGATTTAATTTTCCAAGGCTTGGTACGACCTAACCCTTTAAAAATAAGATTTAAATGTTCCTTGTCAGGTCACTTACAAGTTTCTTCTTTTATTTTTGATTAACTGCTTGCTCAGACTCCTAATCCCCAGCTTTGGCAAGAAGACGTTAGCCACCTCAAACTTTTCATGTCTTGATTATGATACAGTTCCGGGGGACTCTGCACACATGCTACTTTTTAACTGCGTGAGTCCTGGAATGGGATGGGACGCAGTTACTCAAAGCCAATGGTGTCTTCAGATTCTACTCTCAGTTTTGAACTGAGGTGATTTTCCAGATTCTGCATTGTTCCTGTGTTTTCGAGCCGCATTTCATAGGAGGTCGTATCTGGATTCCTTGGAATCCATGTCCCCATGTGTCCCAAGTTTTCAGACCAAGTGAGGCACAAAGCTTGAAGTAACTTGCCAAAGGTCTCACCCCAAGGCAGTGGCAGAGCCAACAATAGAATCCAGCTCTCCTGATGGTCGGCTGCATGTAACACCCACTTCTTTTCTTCCCTCTACCAACCAATGGTCCACGTACCCGTACTGCTTTGTGGTGTGGCAGATTATGGTGGGAAACTCCTCCCAGATTGGCGTGTGCACACACACACTTGTCTGTTTCACTCACCCGCTGGTCAGCAGTGAAATGGAAACCCCAATGTCTGGGCTGGATTCTTCCTGTTGATGTCAGGCCGGTGTGCAACGGGGTAGAAATCATGGGTCGGTGTGGGCCCTGCAGCACTTCGGTTCCCAAACGAAGCTAGCCGGGCAGATCCCTTCTTTTCTGGGAATTTAAAATTCTCCCCCTTCACTTTGTGCCAGCTCCACTGGTTTGTAATTAACTGGTTTGTAATTAACGAGTGCTGAACGGGAAGGGCTTGATTCTCTTTCTACTGATTTTACTCCAGTTTAACTCCAAACGGAGTTATTCTTCATTGACACCAGTGTGGGCAAAATTAATTATGAATTATGTGATAGTGCACCTAATGGGTGCCAATGAGATGAGGGCCTCCTTGATCAAAGTGCAGAATACACGCCGTATTAGAGTCAGCCCTTGCCGGTTAAGTAGACAGAGGGGAAACTCAGGGACAGACAGCAACTCCCTTGAGATTACATAGTAGAGCTGGGATTAGAACGCCTGTTTCCTAAACGCCCGCCCAGGACTCTATCCACTAGACCGCGCTGCCTCTTTAGACTTGGCTACACTCTACCCGCTTTGTGCCTTGC